CTGATGGCTTCAATGCTGAATTTTATCAAATATTTAAAGAACTGATACGAATCCTACTCAAGCTATTCTGAAGAATAGAGGAGGAAAAACTATTTTCAAACTCATTCTATGAGGCCAGTGTTACCCTGATACCAAAACCAGACAAAGACACACCAAAAAAGAGAAAACCGGGAATAAAGAAGATGGCTGAATAGGAACAGCTCCAGTCTGCAGCTCCCAGTGAGATCAATGCAGAAAGCAGGTGATTCTGAATTTCCAGCTGAGGTACCTGGTTCATCTCAATGGGACTGGTTAATGCGTGTAGCCCAGGGAGGGCAACCTGAAGCAGGGTAGGGTGTTGACTTACCAGGGAAGCGCAAGGGGTTGGGGAATGCCCTCTCCTAGCCAAGGGAAGCCAGTGGGAACCATACTGTGCACTCCGGCCCAGATACTGCACTTTTCTCACATTCTTCACAAGCTGCAGACCGGGAGATTCCCTTTGGTGCCTACACCACCAGGGTCCTGGGTTTCAAGCACAAAACCTGGTGGCCAATTTGGGCAGATACCAAGCTAGCCACAGGAGCCTTTTTTCCACACCCCAGGCCACTGGGGCACCTGGAATACCAGTAAGACAGAACCAATCACTCCCCTGGAAAGGGGGCTGAAGCCAGGGATCCAAGTGGTCTGGCTCGGTGGTACCCACCCCCAGGGAGCCCAGCAAACTAAGATCCTCTGGCTTGAAATTCTCGCTGCTATCACAGAAGTCTGAGCTTGAGCTGGGATATTCAAGCTTGGTGTGGGAGGGGCATCCACCATTGCTTGAGTAGGCGATTTTACTCTCACAGTGTAAACAAAGTGGCTGGGAAGTTCAAACTGGGCAGAGACCACTGCAGCTCAGCAACTCTGATGAGGCCAGACTGCCTCTACTCTCTGGGCAGGGCATCTCTGAAAAAAAGGCATTGGCCCCAGTCAGAGACTTAAAGATAAAACGCCCATCTCCCTGGGACACAGCACCTGGGGGAAGAGGCAGTTGTGGGTACAGTTTCAGCAGACTTAAACATCCCTGCCTGACAGCTCTGAAGAGAACAGTGGACCTTCCAGCAGTGTTTCAGCTCTGATAAGAGACAAACCACCTCCTCAGATGGGTCCCTGGCTCCTGTGTATCCTGACTGGGAGACACCTCCCAGTGGAACAGACACCTCATATAGCAGAGCTCTGGCTGGCATCTGGCAGGTGCCCCTCTGGGACGAAGCTTCCAGAGGAAGGAACAGGCACCAGAGGTAGATAAATCCACAAAGATGGGAAGAAAGCAGCACAACAAGGCTGAAAATTCCAAAAATTTTGGCAATCTATCCATTTGACAAAGGGCTGATATCCAGAATAGACAAAGAACTTATACATATTTACAACAGAAAACCAAACAACCCCATCAAAAAGTGGGTGAAGGATATGAACAGACATTTCTCAAAAGAAGACATTTATGTGGCCAATAAACAGATGAAAAAAAGCTTATCATCACTGGTCATTAGAGAAACGCAAATCAAATCCACAATGACATACTATCTCATGCCAGTCAGAATGGCGATCATTAAAAAGTCAGGAAACAACAGATGCTGGAGAGGATGTGGAGAAATAGGAATGCATTTACACTGTTGGTGGGAGTGTAAATTAGTTCAACCATTGTGGAAGACAGTGTGGTGATTCCTCAAGGATCTAGAACTAGAAATGCCATTTGACCCAGCAATCCTATTACTGGGTATATACCCAAAGGATTATAAATCATTCTATTACAAAGACACATGCACATGTATATTTATTGTGGCACTGTTCACAATAGCAAAGACTTGGAACCAACCCAAATGCCCATCAAGGATAGACTGGATAAAGAAAATGTGGCACACATACACCATGGAATACTATGCAGTGAAAAAATGATGAGTTCATGTCCTTTGCAGGGACATAAATGAAGCTGGGAACCATCATTCTCAGCCATCTAACACAAGAACAGAAAGCCACACACCGAATGTTCTCACTCATAAGTGGGAGTTGAACAATGAGAACACATGGACACAGGGAGGGGAACATCACATACAGGGCCTGTCGGCGGGTGGGAGAGTAGGGGAGGGACAGTGTTAGGAGAAATACCTAATATAGATAACAGGCCGATGGGTGCAGCAAACCGCCATGGCACATGTATACCTATGTAACAAACCTGCATGCTCTGCACATGTACCCCAGAACTTAAAGTATAATTAAAAAAAAAAAAAAACAGTGAGAAAACTATAGGGCAATGTCCCTGATGAACCTTGATGCAAAAATCCTCAGCAAAATACTAGCGAACTGGATTAAACAACACATTTTAAAAAGTCATTCATCATGACCAAGTGGCATTCATCTCAGAATGCAAAGATAGTTCAACATGCACAAATCAATCAATGTGATACATGCTATCAATCAACAGAATGAAGGACAAAAACCATATGATCATTTTAATTGATGCTAAAAAAGCATGTGATAAAATTCAACATCCCTTCATGATAAAGACCCTCAACAAACTGGAAGTAGATGGAAGATACCTCAACACAATAAAAGCCATATATGATAGGTCCATAGATAGTATCATACTGAATGGGGAAAACCAGAAAGCCTTTTCCCTGAGATCTGGAACAACACAAGAATTCCCACTTTCACCACTGTTATTCAATGTAGTGCTAGAAGTCTTAGCTAGAGCAATTAGACAAGAGAAAAGATATAAAGGGCATCCAAATTGAAAAAGAAGTACTCAGATTATCCTTGTTTGCAGATAATATGATCTTATATTTGGAAAATCCTAAATACTCCACCAAAAAAAATTATCAGAAGGAATAAACAAATTCAGTAAAGTTGCAGGATACAAAATCAACATACAAAAATCAATAGCATTTATAAATTTGTTATATATTTGTTAACAGCAAACAATCAGAAAAAGTAATCAAGAAAATAATCCCAATTATAGTAGCTAAAAATAAAATCCCTAGGAATAAAAATCAACCAAAGAAGTGAAATATCTATACAATGAAAACTATAAAACATTGATGTAAGAAATTAAAGAGGACACACACACAAAAAGGAAAGATATTTTATGTTCCTGGATTAGAATTATAATTACTGTTATAATGTCCATTTTACCCAAAGGAGTTTACAGATTATTGCAATTCCTATCAAAATACCAAAGACCTTCATCACAGAAATAGAAAAAATAATCTGAAAATTTGTATGGGACCACAAAACACCCAGAATAGCCAAAGTTATCCTGAGCAAAAAGAACAAAACTGGAGGAATCACATTACCTAAATTCAAATTATATTGCAGAGCTAAAGTAATCAAAATAGCATAGTACTGTCATAAAATCAGATACATAGACCAATGGAACAGAATAGATAAACCATAAATAAATCCGTACATCTACAGTGAAGTCGTTTTTGACAAAGGTACCAGTAACATACATTGGGGAAAAGATAGTTTCTTCAATAATGGTGCTGGGAAAACTGGATATCCATATGCAGATGAAACCAGGCCCCTATCTCTAGGTACATACGAAAATCAAATCAAAATGGATTCATTGTAATCCCAATCCGAGCACTTTGGGAGGCTGAGGCGGGTGGATCACTTGAGGTTAGAAGTTTGAGACAAGCCTGGCCAACAGGGTGAAACCCCGTCTCTACTTAAAATACAAAAATTAGCTGGGAGTGATGGCAGGCGCCTGTAATCCCAGCTACTCGGGAGGCCGAGGCTGGAGAATTGCTTGAAGCCCAGAGGTGGAGTTTGCAGTGAGCCAAGATCCCGCCACCGCACTCCAACCTAGACGACAGAGCGAGACTCTGTCTCAAAAAACCAACCAACCCACCAACCAGCCAACCAAACACCCTAAGACCCTAGCAGGCACAGAAACAAACGGCTGGATGTCGAGAGGAACACCTCGGCAGATGAGCACACAGGTGGCTGGACGTTGAGCACACATCTAATTGAGCTGATTAACACAAGACCCCTATAGACTGCAAAATAAAAGAGCACCCTGTGACACACGCCCATTGGGGCTTCAGGAGCTGTAAGCATTCATCCCCTAGACTCTGCCATGGGTTCGGAGCCCAAGTGCCCCACAACCTGCCTGTCTGCATGCTCCCCCTAGAGGTTTGAGCAGAGGGGCACCGAAGAAGCAAGCCACACCCCCATTGTTACCTGTAGAAGGTGTCCAGGTTCTTGATGTCTTGAACAAAGAATTGGACAAAACTCACAAACAAAGCAAGGCAGGAATGAAGGGATTTAGTGAAAATGAAAGTACACTCCACAGTGTGGGAACAGGCCAAATCATAGGGACACAAACGCCCCGTTACAGAATTTCTGGAAGTGTAAAGACCCCCTAGAGGCTTCCATTGGTTACTTTCAGTACGCCCTATGCAAATGGAGAGGATGAAGTAAAGTTACAAAGTCATTTATATGTATGCCCTATGGAGAGGATATTTCCTGTTATAGCCGACTTGTAAATCGATTTTATGTTCCTTCCTCCAGATCCTATTTTCCTGCCTCACCATCGCACACCCTGTAAGGGGGAGAAAGAAACTTTTCCCATTTCACTGTCAAGGAAATGAAACTTACCAGATCATCACATCAGGACAGTGAGACACCAGACCCCTCACCCATCATGATTGCCTAAGCGACCACCTGATTGCTGTTGACCAACTCCTCTTCCCTACCCCTCCCTAATTCCTGATTTCCTGCATGTAGTTACATTTCTTTCTTGCTGTGTAAATCCCTGATTCTAGTTGGTTGGCGGGGATAGGTTTGAGACTGATCTCCCATCTCCTCGGCTGCAGCACCAGATTAAAGCCTTCTTCCCTGGTAATTCTCATTGTTTCAGTGATTGGCATTCTGTGCCAGGAGCAGCAGGATCTAGATGGAACCCCTGGGCTATGGGTAACACAGGTGGATCTGGCCCTGCACGCTTCCCCGCTCTCTTCAACTGATCTGGATACGTTAAGTACCTGCGCATGCCCAGAACGCACCAAGCTCTTCTGCCCTCTGGCAGCCTCCTCGAACCATCCGGACTTCACCTATTTCAAGAAGCCCCTCTGGGGGCCCCGCCCTTTGGGAGCACAACACCCTTTATGTTCCCAAAGCCCTACGTCTTTATCAGGTGCTGATGCTACTACCTGCTTCTGCGCTGGCCCCGCAGGCCGGTGCACACTTTGCAGGAGGAGGCTTTGTCATAATCTTCTTTGTCGCCCCAGTTCCTAGCTCACAGCGGAGCCCCTCAAACCTCGGGAACTCCTCCCTGCAAAGGAGCCAGGACGCCCTCCCTCGGGCTGCGTTTAACCAGGGCAGGGTGACAGAGGACCTCCACAGCAGTCAGGCCTCAGGGCCCGGGCAGGCACAGCTGGCGGGACTCAGCGCTGGCCCGGCGCCGGGGCTCGTATCACCTCACTGCTGCAGACGGGCTGTAAGTGCGCGCGCGGTCGCCATGGTAGCGCAGCCGCCGCGGCCTGTGGTAAAAGGAGCATGGGGAGCCCCCGGGAGACCGCCAGTGCGCCGGCCAGTTCCTCTGCCCCGGCCCCGGCTCGGGCCACCATTCAGGCTCGTTTTCCGGGCGCGGCCCTGCTGGGCCAGCGCGGTAAGAAGTAGGGAGCCCGTCTGCGCGGCTTGGCCCAGACGAAACGCATGAGGGGCGCGGGGTTCGCAGGCCAGAGTCCTCCCAGCAGGCTGCCACCCAAGGCAACTCGGCGGGAGGGTGCCTCTGGGAATCCCAGCTGTGGCCAGAGGTTTGGGGCGCCCTGAAAAGAGGGCGGTAGAGGAGTCCCCAGCCGCCGCGAGGGGCCGCCCTTTGCGCGACAGGTTGTGCGGATGAAGCTGTCCGTCCCTATGCTCTCAGGGTCTCCGGAAGAGTGTGTCTCGGGGGCGCTCTTCTCAGCCCCCTTTTTGTGAAAGTCCCAGAGAGCAGGTCACAGGTGGACATGAGGGTCTTGATACCGTTCTGACTTTGCGCCTCTCTGCCACCTCAGTTTTAAATATTTCTGCGCCCAGGAGTGATCGTTAGCAAGTTAAGCTCACCCTGAACGCCCACCCGCTACCCGCCATTTCCGTTTCGTATGCTTGTTTTAAGGTATGTTTGTGGATACGGAACTGTTTCCGGAGGCTGGCTTAATAATACTCACTGCCCCCAGGAGGTGGGCAGTGTCGGGCTCTGCCTTTAGCATGGGAGGAAATTTAAGCTAGGATAACAACTCATTCAAATGTACACACTGCGGAATCTGGATAGGGCGGCCAAGTCTGACTCGTGCTCATCGCTTGGATTTCTCAGTGCTTGGCTAAGTATAGAAAAGCATGTTTTGGAGGGAACTGCCTTTCTCTGGAAATTGCAAAACGTGCTGCCAGAGGCATGGATGAAAAAATGAAATTTGGGTTAGATTCTTGACATTTTCCTGCGTAGCTGGGTTATTTCCTAGTTTTTGCTTTGCAATTTGAAAACTATTTTCCTTCTAATATGAATACAGTATAGGAAATAAATTGGTGCCATAAAATCTTGCCATGCAAAATACATAGGTGAATTTTAAATCAAAGGAAGAGTTGCAGAAGCTTTTAAAAACTGTAAATCTATGGCTAGCTAAATATTATCCCCATAACTTAGTTGAGCTGTATTTAGCTTGTAGTCGATTCCTTCATGCCTTCCTGGAAATGAATTGTAGTCTGACACATTTCTGTGCCTTGGTTGTGTTGCAGGCAGCGCTGAATCTTGGAGAGTCACAGGGCAATCTTTATTTTAATACCAAGGAAGAGAGTAGGGAAGAAAGAAACCCAGTGGGAGCATAGCTCCAAATTCTATTTGTGATCTACTTGCTTTGTTTCCTGGGACGGACACTAAAGCAGCATTTTCTAAATTGCATTCCAAGTGAGACTTTTTTCTTTTTCTTTTTGAGATGGCATCTTGCTCTGTAGCCAAGGCTGGAGTGCAGTGGCACCATCTCCACTCACTGCAACCTCCACCTCCCGTGTTCAAGCGGTTCTTTCGCCTCAGCCTCCCCAGTAGCTGGGACTACAGGCACGGGCCACCACACCGGCTAATTTTTCTATTTTTTGGTAGAGATAGGGTTTCAACATGTTGGCCAGGCCGGTCTCGAACTCCTGGCCTCACGTGATCCGCCTGCCTCGGCTTCCCAAAGGGTTGGAATTACAGGCGTGAGCCACTTGTGCCCGGCCAGAAATGCGGCATTCGTATCCTCCCTATTTTCAAAGTTTAACAGTTTGAAGACAGTTAACATGTTTTAAATATCCTGAGTAGTATTGTGTCTCTGTACAGTTTTGTTTATTTCAGCACCTCTCAAAATTACTTGATAATAAAAGGTGTTACTATTCTATTTGGAACACCTTTGATCATCCTGTAAAACATGAATATTCCACAAAATACAGTTTAGGCAATATTGTGCTACAATATCATTTAAATACATGAACACTTTCTAAAACATAGGTGAAGTTTTTCATTATGTACATCTATCCACATGACAGAAATTTATGCTGACATTCAAAATTTTCAGAGAATACTGACATGGTAAAACTGTTTACAATATAACGTTAATTGAAAAAAAACAGCAAATAAAATTATATCCAAATATTTCAATTGTTTAAAAAATATGTATATAAAAGAAAAACTATAGGAATTATGTATGCCTAGACCTCAATTGTGGTTGTTCTTTGGCAGTTTGGGACTGCAGATTAACATGTATTTTTTTTTTTAAATATTAGAAATCTCCGGCCAGTCACAGTGGCTCACCTGTAACCCCAGCACTTTAGGAGGCTGAGGCAGGCTGATCACTTGAGGTCAGAAGTTCAAGAGCAGCCTGGCCAACATGGTGAAACCCCATCTTTAGAGCCAGGTGTGATGGTGTTTGCCTTTAGTCCCAGGTACTCAGGAGGTTGAGGCAGAATTGCTTGAACCCGAGAGACAGGTTGCAGTTAGCCAAGATTGCACCTCTGCTCTCCAGCCTGGGCAGGATGACACAATGAGACCCTATTTAAAAAAAAAAAGAAAGAAAGAAATTTCCAAATTGTTTGGAATAAGTATATTCAATTTTAAAAAGGTTATTATAAACTATAAGAAAATTGTTTGCTATCTGAAATATAATGCTCCTCATGTTAAATCTTGTTCTGCAGATGTGTTTAGCAAACTATTCTTCAGAGTGCAAAGGACACTCTCAGTAAAGGACATTTCTGAGATGTAGAGACTTAGAAGAAAAGCCAGCTCCTAAAAAGCTAGGCTGGTTGAGCAATGAGCTCTCTGTGCACAAATTTTAAAAAGACATCCACAAAAGGTAGAAGTACAGAAAACAAAGACAGATAGTGGCCTGTGCTTCTTAGAAAAGGAACAGTATAACTTCCACCCCAGAAGATGTAGGCCTTGCAGAAGATGCTTTTAAGGTATTATTGAAAAGAGTAAGGCCATAAGGAAAGCTGCATGTACAACAGAAAGCAGATCTCAACTCTTGCTTTATTTCTATCTTCTTAAGAACTTATAAAAGGCGCCTTTACAAAGAGGAAATGGAAGACTGGGTAGGAGAAGAGCTTCTGTGAGCCAGGCCTTGATTTGGTATGAAGAAGAACTGAGTTATATTCAAACTTGGGATGGTGTAGAGGGTACCCACGAAGCCTGTGGGAGTAGGTGATTTTTCAGATCCCTTTTGAGTTAGGTGCTTGGATAAAATTGTTTTTATTTGAAGCTAGTTTAAGAAACCTTTTCCTCTGGTGGATGCTGAGATGCTGAGGTGGAAAAAAAAAAAAAGAAACAAAGTAACCTTGAGTCACTGCAATCCAATAGGACACAGTGGAAATCCAATAGGACACAGTGGAATCAGTTTGCTTCTGCACTCTGTCCTTATTAGCTGCATGGTTTTGGATAAAATCTACAATTTCTTTAGAAGTCATTTTCCTCAGCTACCCGGCCTGGCACATAATGGAGCTTATGTCGCTTCCAAGTTAGGGTGCTCACTTGAGTTAGCGTCTGCCAAGCCTCATGGGTGCTTCCATGGCCCTAGTTCTCCAAACAGAATTTTAATTCTCTCTAGCATTCATTAGTTTTATTTCTCTTCTATTTTTCTATCCTTGTTTCCTTTTCTTCTCTACTCCTACTGCACACACACACAACTCATATCTTTGAAAGAAGTATAGTTTTTATGTTTTTTTTTTAAACAAAAGGCTTCTGGAATAATGTTTATGTGTGAAGGATGCATTTATTTTTCAGAATCTCCAGAATCTGGTCTTCAGAAACAGTATTCTAATCTGTGTATGGAAAAATCCCAGAAAATTAATCCTTTTATATTGCATATACTCCAAGAACTGGATGAAGAAGTTAAAAAGGGGTAAGAAAGACAAATACTTGATTACATCAATAGTGTTTGCTTATATTCATGTGTATGAAAATCTTAAAATATTGAGTGATTTTATAGCCATTTGAAAATGCTTGGTAAAATGGACATATCTTTTGATTTAGGTAAGTAAGTAGATGAGCAACACTGTTAGTAGGTCTTAAGGTGGTTAGAAGAGAACACTAAAGCAGGAGTATCCAAGCTTGGGCTCCAGACTGATCTTTAACTCCTGTGAGCTGGGTGAATCTTTTTTTTTGAGATGGAGTCTCACTCTGTTGCCCAGGCTGGAGTAGAGTGGTGCGATCTTGGCTCACTGCAACCTCCACTTCCTGGGTTCTAGCAATTATCCTGCCTCAGCCTCCAGAGTAGCTGGGATTATAGGCACCTGCCACCATGCCCAGCTAATTTTTGTATTTTTATTAGACAAGGTTTCACCATGTTGGCCAGGCTGATCTTGAACTCCTGACCTCAGGTGATTTGCCTGCCTTGGCCTCGCAAAGTGCTCGGATTACAGGGATGAGCCACTGTGCCCGGCCTGAGCTGGGTGAAGCTAAGCAAATCATTGAAGCTTTTAATGTTATCTATAAAGTGGGGATACTGTGTGTGTGTGTGTGTGTGTGAGAGAGAGAGAGAGAGAGAGAGAGAAATTATATGGTATCTTTTAAAGCACTTTGCAGAATATTAAGTAGTTTTAAGTTACCTGGTATAAATATATACTTAGAAGTCTACTTACTATATGCTTGCTTCCAGTAAATGTTATCTGTATATGACACATGAAGGAAACATATTTTTACTTCTTTACTGGGTTTCTATTTCAAAATCTTTTTTTTTTTTTGTATTTTAACAGACTAGAAGGAGGAATCACATTAAACATTGCTGGTAACAATCGCTTAGTGCCAGTAGAAAGAGTTACAGGTCAAGATTTTTGGATTCTTTCCAGAATTTTAAAGAATTGTCGGTATATTAATGGTATGTTTCCATAAGTATCAATACCTCCCGCTTTTCATTGATCTGATTTTAAGCATTCCTTATAAGGACTATAAGGAATATCAGCTTCTATTCAACTGTGCTTCAGGTTTGGATGTTGGATATAACCTTATAAGTGATGTTGGTGCATACTACGCTGCGAAACTGCTTCAGGTATTATTTTACTACAA